AGGGGGCGGGCGCCGGGCCCGGGGGGAAAGGGGGAGGGGGTGCTGTCTCGGTTCCGTCGGGGCCCAGTCGCCCCGAGAGCCGCGGGAAGGCCGCCGTGTGTCCTCCTTGCCTGTAAGGAGGCCGGGGCTGTTGTGGTGGAGGTTCGGGAGAGGCGTTTCCCTCCCTCTCACCCGTAGGTGAGGTTTTAACTGGTTTTGGGGTCCCCTTTGGGCCTGGCTTATTGGGGTGTGTGTTCCGGTAAGCCTGTGGCCTGGACTCCTTCTGGTCTGGTGTGCTGCTGCTACTGGGCTGACTTACAAATAAGACGTAGATGCTTAAGTAGCATCTTTTGGTTGTCAGTAGATTAGAAATACGATCATTTCATATTATAATACAAAAATTCTGCAATATCTATTCACTTTTCCAGTTATGGAGCAAAAATTCGTGGCCCGCATGCCCTGGTGATGACTTTTCTATTCAAGAGCGGAAGGTATGAACCCTAGTTTTGTATTTCTGCATTACTGCTTAGAACACTTTCATTCAAGCATTCAATTTTTCATGTTACCAGAGGGCTTAAAGAGCAGAAGGATATGTGAGCCATGTCCATAGCCTGTTGTTCTGAGAACTAAGCAGGACAATTCATATGCACACACAAATATACATACTCATGGGGGTCAACCACTCATAGAATGGCTGATGAGAACCAATGGGCAGAGGAGAAGTTACCAGATGCAAACAGCAGCACTCTGCTCTCCGTTCAAGTGAGGGAAGCCAAACTATAGCAGTGCGCGTTGTGGCTTTCCCCGCTTATGCCAGAGGTTTGCACTTAGGCAAAAAATAATAAAAAAAAGGCTGCTTGACTAGTCATAGAATTAGACAGAAGCACAGTCTGCAGCCTAAGTAGAGCTGTATTCTGATGAGTGAGCCAGAGGTGAAGGGATTTCTCTTCCCTCACAAGATGTCCCATGGGGTGCCCCAGCTATCCGTCTAGATGGGCAGGCCAGAGGGGCGTAGCATCCAGGCTGAGTGACTGCAGTGGTCCTGCCTTTTTGCTCTGCTAATTGTCTGTTTCTTTTCTTCAGTTTAAGAGAGAAATTGAAATCGATTGCTCAGGCTACGTACACTCATTCCCGGAACTTGGCGTATTTTGTGTCCACCTACAAGGGGCTGATGGCGTTGCAGTCCCGACTACAGGGGAAACAAATTCCATTTCATTCTTTCTTTGCAGCCTGCATTGGGGGTTGGCTAGTGTTCGGTGAGAACAATCCCATCAACAGCCAGGTAAATGCGTTCTTTAAAAGTTTCCTTGACAAAAAAGCCCAACAGTTGGATGATCATGTGCCGGGAAGTGGTTGGTATAGCCTGGCATGTTTCTGGTGGTTCTTACCACATGGCATTACTCTTTTACCATATTCCTCTTTGCACAAGTTCTTGTTTTGGCTGCTCTGCATTCAAATTCTAGAGGTGGTTGTGTGCCTTCGTGAACGGTGTGTGCAGTTTGAGCGCTAAAAGCCCAGGTTTACCTGCAGAGCTGCACTCATATACCTAGGAAGGCAGGCAGGCAGTCACACAATCCAAAGCCATTTGGTTACCCTACCTGTCATCTGAGCTGTGGTAACTGACTGTGTGCTCCTACTCTGCCTACTCGCAAGGTTAAACCCTTTAGCTTGAATGTTGTGAGTGTAGAGCACAATCGGTTACTGAGCTACACTTAACTGGTTAACCTGACAAAAGCTGCTCAGGGGATGTTTGATTTAAAGCTGGTTGTTAACACAGTCACAGATTAATCAGTCAGTAAAACACACAGATGCAGATTAATCAAAAGTGGTGTTGTGCAATGCCTTGCAAGAACATACTTTCAGTCTGGTTTTAGGATGCATCCAGACTACTGAGTTTGTATCTGCTTGGCAGGTTAGCAGGGCTGCTCTGTGAGTAGCATTAAGTGAGCAAAGACAAAAGTTGTGCAACTGCAAAGATGTGTTGCATGAAGTGTAACTTGTCCTAAATCAGAGCACCAGCAGAGAAGTAGGAGTTTGAGGATGTAGGGAAGACACAAACATCTCCATTTATAAAGACTGCTTGATATGTGAACCTACAACCTGTTTGCTTTTCAGTTGGGTAAATTGTTTCTGCCCCTTTTGCCTGGCTTATCATTTCTTAATCACTTAACCTGGCTAGTATATCTAGTCAGGTTATTGACGTAATGTTCTTTGGGTTTTCTCTTCATGCAGATCATTATGTACCTGCTTTCTCGTATCCTGTTCGGCTTGTCTCGGCTGGCAGTGGAAAAGGGCTATGTCCCACAGCCAAAGCAGGATCCCTTTCCGCTTGTCGCTGCTCTGATATGGGGGACAGTTCTCTGGCTCTTTGAATACCACCGGCAAACTCTGCAGCCTTCTCTGCAGTCCTCCATGACCTACCTATATGACGATAGTAATGTATGGCATGACATTTCTGACTTTCTCATTTATAACAAAAGAACAGACAGCAAGTAGGTGGTTCATTGTAAAACATCTTTGAATGGGATGGTACCTTCCAGCAGCTAAGAGAGAAGGTTATTCTATTGCTTTTGACTGGTTAATTTAAAAAAAATCACATCTGTCAAGCAGAGTTGCCTCTTGTATCCTGGCCAAAATGTTCTAATTAGTCTTCTCTTGGCTCTGTTTAGAGCAAGTAAATACTCCACGGAAACTTGTTGCAGTCTTTTTTTAAAAAGAGGCCTTATTTTCCCTGCAAGTATGGCTTTTAGGGTTTTTTGTGTTTAAAGACAGTAAATGTACTTACAAAATGACAGCCTGATGGTAAGTGGAGAGATTGTCTAATGATGAAAAATGTTCTAGGGATCGTCTGCATGCTTGCAAGACAGAAGCATTTTTCTGTGCTGCTGTGCTCGCTGTGGTGTGATGGGAGTGGGGGACCTGCTCAGATCCGAAAGCAGGGACATAATTTCTTGATTTCTGTAGCTGACTGGAAATCTTGTTTAAACTATTACAAGGACAGTTGTGTGCTCCTTAAGAGAGTTTCTCTGCAGTTTTCCCTCGGGGAGACAATAAGATGTTTGAGAATAAAACTGTTAAAGATTGTCTGGTATGAGCCTGGTAAGTCAGGCGTGGAAGGACTATTTTTGCTCAGTTTCATGCACTTGGGCTGAATCTGTCCCTACGCAGAGTGCGCTAATTAATACCCTGGAATTATTTTACACTTATTTGTAAAGTTTTTAAAAGCTGCTTGAACTAAATACCAAAAACAGTTATGCAACTTAGACTCCTTTGAAAACAGGCTGAGGCACATTGCACGCCCTCAGATATCACACTGGGTACTTTGTATGTAGAAGCAAGCAATGCTTTTAACAAGCACTTTTATTTTGGTGGAAGATAAGCACATGGGTTTCTCTTGGGTCCAGAATCTACCCTCCACAGCAGTGGCATTTGGTAGCTGTATTCAAACTTAAATGTACCTGTAGTTTGTGCGGGCTTGTTGCTGAGCCAGGTTGAGGCCGCAGATGAATATATCTTATTCTTCCTCTTAAAAATACACTACTGAGCCCCAGATACAGTGCGGCACACGCTGGGCTTTAACAGAAGATTGACTAGATAGCTGAGAACAAAAACTGGTTTAAAATTAATAAATTCAAACTGTTAACAGTGCAAAGTGCTTACACTGCCTTATAACACTATACCATTCACTGAATGATGTACATTAAAATAATTCCTGACACACTGGTTTTATGTGGTGATATTTGCAAGAGAGTCGTTAAGTTCCCTGTGCTAACCATTCCCTTTTGGGTCAATCAGGACTGTTTTGTTCGCTCTTCCTGTACCCATCCGCTTTTCCATCCTGATCTGACCATGTAATTTCATAATCCTGCTGATGCTGTTCTTCATTGTCTTTTGCAGTCTCTTTACACACTAGGCTCTAGCAATTTGTCATATTCAATGGTATGACTGAAACAGTACATTTAAGTTCAGGTAGCTTCTGAGCAGAAAAAAATTCTCAATTTCTTAAGTAATTTTTCCTTGTCCTCCTAAGCTCTTTTACTACTATTACACATATTCTGAGCGCTGCTTTGCTCTTTATTTCTCCACTGTCTGTCAGCAAGAGGGAGAGTGAAATGTTCCCCTCCCCATAGTCTGTATGGTGCTGGAATGTTTGGGATTGAATTGCATCCTGAGTGGCTCAGGTGGAGTAGGAGTACAATCTTTTGGCTCTTGTACTGAATCTAAGGGCGAGTCCAACTACATTCACTGTGAGATCTTACAGTATAGAGACAGAAGCTTCATTGCACTCATGCCATGCAAATCCATGACTTACTCATGTTTGGTGGCCAAAACCCAAGATACTGCTTTGCCATAATAACTATCTGTGGTACCTTTAACATTTAACTTCACCTGCTGTTACAGTCTGTACTTAACACTTGAATTTGAACACTGATCAGTATTTAATCAGATAGACCCCAGGAAAGCTATGAGTTAGGAATTAGGTTTGTTTCTTCATGGTTAAATATTTTGCTTGGTGGAGGTAAGCTTAAAGATTCAAGTACAGAAAAAATACTGGAGCTACAGGTGAGGTCTGATTGCTTTATAAACATCGTATCATTATTTGCACCACTGCTGGATATCTGAAGCAGTGCAAGTGCAGCACTCTATTTTTATGTCAGAAGCCTCAATATTGTTCCAAGTAAGAATGTTAGTATTCTGCTAATATTGCTGAATTCCTGCAAGCTTTAATGGGATTTCAGAAAACCCTTCCGCAATCTGACAGCTATGGCTTGAGAATTTCTCCCTAAAACTATTAGACTTACAAATCCTTGACCGTGTATAATTATCGTAGCAAAAGATGGTGCAGGCTGGTTATGTGAGCTGTGTGTCTGTAAGTTTTTAACCTTTTTAATTTATAGCTGGCATTCTTTTCTCTGAGAAAGGCTTGTGATTCCCTTAGAGGCAAAATTACTTTCTTCTGCTAGTAGTTCTACCACTGCAACCATGTGGCTGCTTGTGGAGTGCTTCTCTGGCCACATGAAGGACAAGTGACCTGTCCTGTTCTTTTTACACTACTGTAGTATCTCTGTCCTCTCTAGATGGCAAAAACAAGCCAATAGCAAGTTTCTAGTATCAACCTGGCAGCAGCGGCCATCAGTCATACTTAGTTCAAAATGCCCTTTTTCTCTTGGGAATCTATCACCAACTTCACTTTCAAAGCAAATTGTGCCCGAGCCTCCAACCATCTGTACTTCTGATCCAGGACCCAGCTGCCGTCCCTGGATGACAAACTGCAGCTCATCCCAGGAGCAGGTCCCCTATAGCAGCAGCCATTAGCCGGGTGTTTGCGGACGGTTGGTTTTCCTGCTGCGTTGGGGCAGGATGTTAAGCTGCAAGTCACTTCTTTCCCCAGGGAAGTAATTGGAACAGTTCTTTAATGGCATTAGTCTGCATTGCTGTTTCTGTGACCAGATAGCTGGGGATGAACCCCTTATGCTACCAAGGTGTTGGAACAATGCGGGCGTGTAGTAAGGAAGTGAACTAGAAGTAATTTGTCTGAGTCAGACTTTTCGGATACATAAGTTACCCTCCCTGCCCTCCCCCATTGCATTGTGTGGGGAATTGTGTCCCCTGTTTGTGTTCCTTTTTTATTAGCATTAAAACCAGAAGAAATAGAGGCAGTTGGGAAGCCACCTGCGAATCAGCCAAATGCTTAAGAATCACAAAGAAGTGCCCCCAGCCCTGATCGGTTTTGAATTTTAAGATGAACGTGGGTTTGTTTGTCTACCATCGACTTTATTTTCCCTTGTTATTTCTTTCTCGACACCTGGCTGTGAGATGCTGAGTGCCTCTAAAAAGGAGCAGAGCGTCTTGATGCTTAGCTCAGTTTGTCAAAAATTAGGATTACTGGATGAAATTGAAGTGTTCATTTTAAAATTATGCTTCTCCAGTTTTTAAGCCTCTTTTAGAGGCAGTTTTAAAGGTTAACAAATCAAACTGATCAAAAGTTTTCAGCAAGCCTTGAACAGTAGACTGGCTATAGTGAGCTATTAATCATTTATTTTATGAAGGAACAAAGCAAGCTCAGGGTTATTTACTGCCGCTGCATGCTGCCCTAGCATACCCACTGTGCTTCACTTCTCTTTGGAGGCCAGATTGTATGCTAGCGCTGCCCATCAGGATTGCTGAAGAACCATTTCCGGGACAATTACATTATTTAACAAAGGTGAAAATTAAATGGGTGCATGACATTTGGTTTAGCTCAGGTTTTCTGTACTGTGTTTGATCCTTCCAGCTAAGGGGAGGATATTTCTGAAAGAAAAACCTGTGCTTGTCCAATTAGTGCCACAGAGAAGTGCTTATGGAGGTTGCTGCTGCTGTAAGATGTGAACCTGTGTTCGCAGCGTGATGGCGTGCTTTGTCCTGGTCACCATCCATGTGTCTGGGCAATAACCACCCCTGCTCTGGACCGCTGGGCCAGGAGGGACAGGCTGCAAAAGAGCTTTGATATTGGTGCTGCGAGACTTTCTTGCCCTGGTAGCATACGTATTCAAGCTCTGCTTTAAACCGAGCTGGGTGGGCAGAAGTGCAGGGATGATCTCTGACTGCTGAAGTAGACCAAAACCAGTGTCCGTGCAGACCCCCTGTGACTGCAAAGGGTCCCCTGTGCATGCCAAGCTCTGCAGCCAGCTGGGAGCTGTCATGGATGGCTGGTGGTAGTGGAGTAACCAGAACCCCATGCAGATACCCGTACACAGGAGAAACTGCTGTGACTCAAATTCCTTTTCAGTGTGTCAGCACAAATATGACCTTCAGATAGTACCCCAAGCCACGTGCTGTTTCCTATTTCTCAGGTTGTGTTTGTCTTCCTGGATTACGCCAACCTGAGCAGAACGTGTTTGGTTTTCTGAGGCTGGTTTTGAAATCCAGCAGATAAGGGAGGAGAGAAAATAAGGCGTAATGCTATCCAGCTTAATGTCTGTCTGCCACTGTTAATATTTAGGGGTGCTAATCTTGAATTTTCAACCTGTGTGTTCATACCAGATTGTTGGAGGAGGTAACTTTTTTTCTTCACTTAGAGGAATTTTCATCTGTCTCATTTCCTTATGAGACTGGTAGTGAGGAGGGGGAAAAACAAAATTAAATGCTCTATAATACAATATTATTACCCTTGGTTTTGGTATATATTTTGTGTTCATAATTGCTGTGTAATCCAGGCCCTGGTTTTCTGACAGCGTAGAATAAAGTTAAGAACATAAACTCAGGTAACTTGTAATTATGCTGATCAGAATGCTTGTAGGAATGTCTCAGTTTTTGATTTTTAAAATATGTGAAAAGGGGGGCAGTGGTGACTCCTTGTGCAGTCAGTGTAGTACATCAATCCAAGACTTTCTGCTAAACTCATTTGCAGATTATTTCTGTATAATCACTCTTTGAATATTATAATACTGTGCTTTCTATAATAGTAATAAAAACCTAATTTTTTGTCTTTTTCTACTGTCATCATTATTAAGCTAAAATATATGAAGTAATGCTTAATTACTGCACATTACTAGCCCTGTATGTAGAGAAGTCATGCACGGAGTGCATTGTTGGCATTGGTTGTGCCCTCCTGTTACCAGCTTGGAGGCAATAGCCAGTGCTGCATTGACCACACCATCAGATTTAAGCACTGCAACACTGGCCTGCTCGGGTAAGGATCCTAGCTGCAAAGGCAAATTGGGGTGGCTGGTTTTTTGTTTGGTTTGGTTTTTTGTTTTTTTTAAGCATGAACTTTCCTATGCCATAGCTGTTTGGATTGCTTAGCGTGCTGTGTCTTCAGACCAAGTGACTCAAATTGGGGCTATGCTGGGAGGTTTGTAGCACGTACAAACTAGAGACGCTCAAATGCAGTGTAAATGGGACGGAGTGTGACTGGCTCTTGCATTGCAGCTAGCAAAGAGTCCATCTGTCCCATTGGGTATTCCTGGGGTGACATGGTTACGGGGCAGACTGCTCCTTGGTGCCTTGCAGTCCGCCAGGAACGTGTGCGAGTGGTTGCAGAGAGCATGCAAGTGTTCAAAGAGAAGTCAGCTGGAGGAAGCTCTGTTGGTGACTGCCCCACTCACAGGTGGAGTCCTGGCTTCAGCCTGTGTGCCTGGTCCTTGCCCAAATACTCCTCTTTAGGGCAGACAGCTTGCAGCAGGACCATCTGCCAGAGCAGGGCATAGGTACGCAGCACTGGACACAAGTCCGAACCTGCTTTGCCGGTTAGCTGAACAAAATAAGGACATACACAAATAGTTAAGACAAAATAAGGATGTATATAGATGATTTTTCTGTCTCTTCCAAGCTCAGAGCTACAGAGAATATGCTATAGAGGTAGCAGCTGTGGTAGTAGAGATAAAGCAGTCCCTGTGTGAAGAGCTCCCTACGGCACAGGCAGGTAAGGGAGGTCCTGATCCCAAGCAGAAGAAGGTCCCTCTGCGAGGGGAGTGCTGAGTAGCTGTAAGACAAAACCTCCTGCCTTGTAGCTGCTGTAATACTGGAGTGTCCAGCCCAGGCCCATGAGAAGCCAAATTAACACCTCCAAACTGATGTCAGTCCTATCTTAAAGTGGTTTTTTTCCCCCCTCTCAAAACATCATTACTGTACCTGAGCCCTTCTTCTGTTCTAAGTGAAGCTCTGAGCGAGCTACAGGTTTTGCTCTGACACTTTACGTTCCTTTTGGGTTCACAGTGCCAGTGACCATGCTCTGAACCTGCTGGGAAGTGAACTTGGACTAGCTAGTTACTAAGTCTAAGTAAAGGCTAAAGCACAGAAGGCAACATCAAGGGGCTTATTCCCAAATGTACTGCTTGATGACTACCAGGCTGTTTGCACAATGTGCCACTGTGCAAGGAGAGAAACACTTGAGCCTCTCCATTCCTCTGCAGGCCTTGAGTGAAGGAGGTCGAAGACCCTTGTCGAACAGAGTGGCTTTTAGCAGCTGGCGGGGAAACCAGACATTTGTACTACTCTGTCTTACGGAAGCTGGAACAAGATCGCCCTGTTTGGCTGTGAAGAGCAGAGCGGGGGGCAAGTGGGCTCCATGCCCCTGTTGCTTCTACTTTGTGAGCTCTAATAACAAATGCCATCATACGAGAGAACGAAATAACACTGCTGAATCTGTTGTGCCCAGCATCCAAGAAAGTAGCTGACCTGATTGATGTCTTGGGAGAAGAGCTGCTGGTGTAGTCTTCTGTAACAAGATGCAAGGGAACAGGCAGTTCCTAGCTTTTGGGACCGGGATCTGAGAGAAGACACCCAAACCAGTGATGGTCTCCCTTGTGCTGCAAGCAAGCTTTAGTTATTTGTGCTATCAGAAAATCACTTCGGTTCCCATACAAAGAAGGCAATGGTTAAGGTGACAGGTGGAGGGCAATAAGGTCAGGATCGCAGGACTGTGGGGGCTCTGGGCTTTCCCCAGCTGCCTGTCCGCTCCGCAGGTCCTCTTGCAGCAAGAGTGTGCCACACTGTCGGCTTGCTGTCACCTGAACCAAAGCGCTGGGGGCAGGAGCATTGGCAGGAGACCCTGGGGGAAGTCGCGCTTCCCTTCACGCAACGCAGTCATTCCAGTGTGACAGCTCAGCGCAGTCCGTGTGGGAACTGCTGAAAGTAGGACCTCACTACAGATGACAAGGACACTAAATGTGCTTCTGGGACACCTACGTGCTAAGGTTAACTGAGCACAGGGATGCAGGTTTGCATCCTGCCAGCTCTCCTCCTGTCTGCTCCCACTGCCAGGAGATGATTTTGCAATGTAGATACCAGCTCCGGCTCCATCTGCAGCCCCGGTCTGTGCTTTTCCTTCAGCACAGGGACCAGCAGACACCCCTTGGCCTGAGCCTGTCCCAATGGGCAAGGCAGCCAAGACCCACCTGAACTCGGTGACTGCTGCAGGGTAAATCCAGCTGGGGTACAAAGTGTATGAATAGCCTTCCTGATCCTGTCATGACCAAGTGCGGCCATGGAGACAGGACTTTTATCTTTGTGCAGCACCCGCCAGACAGCTAATCTTGGGAGCACGTCTCCACTCCTTAGCAGGGCTGGTGAGACTGGGAGGAGGCTGCAGCTGTGCAGGAGACGGGGTGCATCTGCTTTCCCTCATATGTATGCAAGAAAAGCCCCTGCCCTTCCTTCTCCCACCAATATTTGCCTTTCATTTGTCTTTGCAACTGCCCTTTTTCAGCGCTGCCAGCACTAAAAGCCTTGGAGAAGTTGCAGTGCAGCCAGGCAGCGTGGCAGCTCAGGGGAAAGGGGGGCAGAGCACAGCCTGCTCCCTACGAATAAGCTCTGGCATGAATTGGGGAGGGTGGTGGGGGGTGGAAACCAGCCTTTGTGAGCAGAGTGAGAGCAGCTGGTGCAGCAGCTGTGTCCCAAACCCTGCATCACCCCAGGAAGCGCCTGGCCGAGGCTCCCCAGGGACAGGGAGAGCACTGCCAGCCGTTTGCTCCTGCCCGGCTGTTGGGGTTGCCTTTTTCTCCCCTCCCCAGATGGAAGAAACATTAACTGTGGGCAAACATCTGGTCTAACTGTTGCTTATGCTTCACAGTAATGATGATATTGCAGTGCAAGGGCTCCAGAGAGCAGGCCCTTGAATATTAGAAGGGCTAAGCGTTAATTAACTGTATTAATTTCCCTTAAGCAAGGCAGCATTTCTATTTGCTCTTTGCTGATGAAGAAATGAGGCACGGAGAGGTGGTATGATCGGTCACGGACATGCAGTATGTTACTGGCATATTTAAAGATGTAGGAATCCAGGGAAATCATGGCACTGCTCCGTGCTGGCTGTCCTGCAGGGGAATTGCAGCCACTGCCAAAGTATCCAGCATAAAATCCTTTAAAGCCTAGAACCTGCTAGGCCAGCGCAGGGGCACTGCGTGTCAGGATCTGCTCCGCAGCAAAGGATTTAACTCATCGCTGTGAATGCCTCCCGCATCCCACGCACTGGTGGAAAAAACACCCTGTCTGCTGCGTCCCGGGCAGGTCGGGGTTGGCAGCAGCACCAGGCCAGGAGCCAGTGCTGGCCCACAGCCCTGCGCGGCAGCAGCAAGGGGCTGCTGGCCACCGTGCTCGACCACGGGGTCCCCCGGGGATGCATGGGGCAAATCGTGGGGGGCACAGAGGGTTTAAACCCTAGGATAGGCTCAGATGGGTTTTGGGTGCCTGGCGGAGACTCATGCTCCACGCTTTGCCCATGAGCTTCAACATCTCTGGGCCCTAGGAAAGGCCTAGTCTTTAAATGTTGGGGGGGTTTATTGGAAGGATTTTTTTTTTTTCCTTTTTAATTATGCTTTCTCATGCAGCAGGAAGGTTATCAGCGTCCTGCATGTGGGAGATGCTGATGGTGGGAGCCGCCTGTGCCGTGTCTCGTGAGTGGACTATCATCTCTCTCGGTGTGGCGGGACTACTCCCAGCTCCGGCTGCTGTCCCCTCTGCCCCTGCCTCCCCCCTGGCTGCACAGTCCTGCTGCCGGCACGGTCAAGTGCAGCTTTGCTTCCAGCAGAGCTTTTTCTCTGTGCTGCCCTGCAAGGCGTTATCAACTAGTGCTGAAGAAGCTGCTGAGGTCCACAGCTGTTCGGTGTTTGTAAACACAAAATGTCGTGAATCATCCAGCAAACAAACAGAGTGGATTGCAACATCCCAATCTTTCCGTGCGAGCTGGACCCCTCGAGCAGTATCAGAGCCCAAAGCCTCACGACTTGCCGGATGGCCTCATCCACAGTCTCGGGGCAACTTTGCAACAAGGGAGATGGCACAATCCCAAACTCATCCCTTCTTCCCTCCACCAGTCTTACAAACACGGTACAAGAGTCCCAACATCCCCCCGAGAACGTTGCCCCCACAGTACAGCAGACTAAGGCTGCACCCCGGCAAGGCTGAGCACCCCGTGACGCCCACCAGCTCCTTGACAAGCACCGCTGCGGGGCTGCCCCTGCGGCGAGGGGATGCCACCAGCCCGGGCAAGGCTGGAGTTACCGTCACCCCCCCGGGGAGGGGGGACGTCGGGGGGCAGCCTGGGACACCCCCCAGAGCCCCAAATCCCCCGCCTTTTCTCCACCGGTGTCTCATCCGGGCCCCAGGGGTGGGCAGACTCCGCGGGGGAGGGTGATGTGAACTTTGCTCGTGGGTGTGGGTGCCAGTACCCTCCCCCGCCATCCGCAGAACAGCTGCACCCGTAGCCGGAAACCCGTCACCTCGACGGGGTAAGAACCGGAGCCCGGGCCCGGGACACACGAGACTCCTCCGTGCACGTCGCCGGGGATGATTCGGAAGGGGGATCCCGGGGGCG